TGGGCCACAGCACCTTCTGGATACAAAAGGGCCGTGGTGATCTCTACCTGTAATTTTAGGAATGATACACTTCGTCCAGTTGCTGTGTAAAGCACAAAACCATTGTACAGAGCCAATTGAAATAAATATACAGACACTTTATTGTATCAGCGTCTGGCTTTACTGGAAACTAAGTTTGGCTTAATCATCTGGTTATTGAAGTCCACCCCTCCCATGTTGAGGTATAGTTGTGGACACAGAGGGGCTTCTCAACAACACCAGCTGTCGTGGAAATTTGGATGGTCGTGTCTGCGTGAATGGAAGACCGGACAAAAACATCCCATTTGACCTTCCACTCCCTTGCAAGCAATTCATCATTTTTCAAGCAGGCTTTCTCTCCCTTTCTAAGACAGGTATTTACAAGCCGTTGGGGAAGCCCCAGTGATTAGGTGTCACGGTGCCACATGCGGCAATTCCAAGATTGTACAAATGTCTATTAGTGGCACGCTTGAATAAAAATTGTGCACATATAAGGGGTACCCCATATGGAAAAAGGGTGGCATCAAGTCCCAATCTATCTTGCCACTGCTTCCTATGTTGTCTGGGCATCCGGGGGATCCACGTGACTATATTTTCCCTCGTAATTCCAAAAATTACACATATAGCCTGTTGCCCTCTCACAGGTCTTATACATTGTGATGCCATATTTGGCATGCTTGCTGTGGAGAAATTGTTTGAATGCAAGGTGGCCAGAAAAATCACTGAGGGACTCATCGAAACAAATGTTTTGCTAGGGAGTATACACATCTGAAAATTTCTGGTTAAGGTGATTTATGAGAAGCCAAATTTTGTGGAGCCTATCATATGCAGGGTTACCCTGAGCATGACAGAGTGTATTGTCATTGAAATGCATAAATCACATTATATTTTCATATCTATGCCTCGCCATGGCAGCAAAGAACACAGGCACATGATGAATCGTTGGGGACCAATACAACCACAACTCATTCTTTTTGCCCATGTTGAGGGTTAGGCCCAAACAGATTTTAAATTCAGAAACCGTAATAGGTTTCAATGCAAATGGTCTGGCAAGGTTTTGAATTTGGATTGGCGACGATAAATTGTTGTTCATATATATTGCTTTGATCCACAATCAATCCATATAGATCTACTGTGAAAAACAGCTCCAAAAAATCAAAGGGAATAGTTAAATTTGCTGTTTCCAGCTGAATCCTGGGATGGATAGTGAATGGGGAGGTATGGGTGCTGCAGAATTTGTGGGCTACCAATCAGGATTTGCATTCTTGGTGGCTGTGGGACAGGGGCTAAACACAGGTGCTGGCAGGTATCGAGGCTGATCCTGCTAATGCTGCATTTTTGGGGACACTATACTATTGTGAACGCTGGTATAGTTCTGATCTGATCAAAGATATTGATCCATTCAAACAGTATACTAGCAATGGATTTATTGTGTATATGAGCATATTCCTGGCAATTAAAGGGTTAAATGTGATTAATGATGCAATGGCACGCAATTTGAAGCTATCTGGGAGGGACGCTAACTGATACTAACGCTATCTGAAGTCGCCTGTGACACTAATACAGTGATTAGTAAAAAAAATATGTACACTGTACTAATGACACTGGTGACAGGGCAGTGAAAGGGTTAACTGGGGGGGTGATCAGGGGGTTAAATGACCTAGCAGTGCTTTTACTGTGTAAGTGTGCTACTTTTACTCACTTGTATCTGATTTCTTCTCTCTCTGGAATGGAAGGTGCTCCAGGTAGAGAAGATTGCATCATTTGCTGTGCCTGTGTAATGTTAATACAAGCACAGGAAGACCTCTGATTCAGTACAACCGATCAGCAGGTCCAGGCCAAACATCATTACTGAATCACAGCACCGACCTCCCCCCTGCCACTGCTATAGGGCAGAGGGAAACTGGTTAAGGAATGAAGGCGCACAATGCTCAAAATGTAATGGATGGAGCAGTCTGGTCTGCTGGCTGTGGCATGGAGCAGTTTACTAGTACTGTACTGGGGCAGTAATGAATGAATGCAACGATCAATGGATGGATGGAGCAGTGAGTGTACTAATGTGGAATTATTATGTATACATTACATGCAATGGAGCAACAGTACTACTGGGGCAATAATGAATTAATTAAATGGTAAAAAGATGGAAGGAGCAGTCTACTTTCTCTGGGGCAATTGTGAATACATGCAATGAATGGAGCAGTCCACTGGGGAAATAATGAATTAATTCAATGGAATGGATCAGTCTATGGGAGAAAGCAATGACTGCAGTGAAGGAGCACCACCACCAACAGCTATGCTATCGTGTTTGTTTTTTCTCCTTCTCCCTCCCTCTTTGTGCTGTTGGATTGGAACTCCCTGGACTCCCAAACATGTTTGCTTTAACTGACCTATGCCACCACTGCCACCAATGCCTTGCCTGCCTGCCTGCTGCCCTCCTATTGGATCAAGTGAAGTGCAACTGCACCAAACACAAGGTCAGCTGTTTGCCTACAAGCAGAAGGCCCGCCTGCCTGCCTGCTGCATCTCCTCCAGAAGCATTCTCTTTGGCTTCATATCATACAGTAAGCAAATAAACAATTTGTTGCAGTGTGCTTTGTTAAGAAATGATCTGCTCTAGTGAGTCTTATGTTTGGTTTTCTCCTTCTCCCTCTTTGTGTTGTAGGTTGGTTCTCCTCTCCCTGGACTCCCACTCTCCCAGACACGCAACTTTTGACATGGCTAAGCCTATTCCACCACTGCTGTCAAAGCCTTTGCCTGCTGCACTCCTTGGATCAAGTGAACTGCACCAAAAACAAGGTCAGCTGTTAGACTTCAAGCTGAAGTACTGCTTGCTTTCCTGCTGCAACTCCTCCTGAAGCATTCCCTTTTGCTTCCTATCATGGTAAGCAAGCCTTTTTCATCCAGGGTGCCCAGGCACCCCTGGATGCCTTCAGGTTTTTTCAGGGGTGCCATTGAAAAATACCTAAAAATTGCCCAAAAACTGTACACAAGCTAGCAAGTGGATGAAGCCTGTTTTTTAGTTACACAAAGCCACAGGTTTTCATTGTGCACCATTACATCCTTCTAGCCATCAGTGTCCTAACAATTAGTGATGTCATTGGTAGAAAGTGAGGACATTGGGCACCCGCCCAGCATCCCTATTTGCCCCTCTTTGTCAGCACTGGGGTCACATTAGCTGAGTGTGGGAAAGAAACTGAAGGAGAAGAGAAACATTGGAATACTAGTCAATACCAATGTGCAAAAGTGAATTTGCTTTGGAAGAATAAATCCTCTTTAATGTTGGGTGTCCAACATGTGTGGATGTTGTGGCATTATGTAACAGTGTTAGTTTCGTTTTTTATATTTTAGAAGGGGGAGCCTCAATACTGGGCAGAATTTTAAAGGGTGCCTTCACTGAAAAAGGTTTTAGAAATGCTGCAGTAAGCAAATACACAATTAGCAGCGTGCGCTTTGTCAAGAAAGTATCTGCTCTAGTGATTCTCATGTTTGGTGTTCTCTTTCCCCCTCTTTGTGTGTTAAGTTGGTTCTGCTCTCTCTGGACACCCATTCTCCCAGTCACGTTACTTCTGACCAGCCTCAACATGTATCACCACTGCTTCCAATGCCTTTGACTTCTGCCACCCTTGGACCAAGTGAACTGCACCGAACACAAGGTCAGCTGTCAGCCTACAAGCAGAAGTACTGCCTGCCTGCCTGCTGCAACTCCTTCTGAAGCTTTCCCTTTGGCTTCATATCACGGTAAGCAAATACACTAGTTGCTGGGGTGTGCTTTGTCAAGAAAATCTTCTGTAATGAGATTCATGTTTGGTGTTTTCCTTCTCTCTCTGTGTGCTGTAGGTTGGATATCCTGTCCCTGGACTAGCAGTCACTTTGACCAGCCTCAGCCTGTTCCACCACTGCCAATAATGCCTTGCCTTGCTACCCTCAACTTTGGATCAAGTAAACTGCACCACACAGTTCGCTGGTTGCCTATAAGTGCAAGCACTGCCTGCTGCAAATCCTCAGGAAGCATTCCCTGTGGCTTCATATACCGGTAAGTAAATACACAGTTTGCAGCAGTGTTCTTGTCAAGAAATTATCTGCTCTAGTAAATCTCATGTTTGGTGTTCTCCTTCTCTTCCTCTTTGTGCTGTAGGTTGGTTCTCCTCTCCCTGTATAGCTAGCTTTTCTCCCAAGGTCAGCTGTTTGCCTACACCTCAAGCACAATTACTGCCTGCCTGCCTGCTGCAACTCCTGTCCTGAAGCATTACCTTTGGCTTCATACAGCGAAATCATACAATAAGCAAATACACAGTTTGTTGCACAATTTGACAACCAGCTCATCTAAGAGTAAGTGGTAATCTTTCATACTAATACACCAAACACACATTTTGTCTTTGCAGCCTACTGTATACATAACAACATGATTTTTCTACAGTCTTTTATTAGACACCTTCCAAGTCTCCAAACCAATCTTCACACAGGATGCATCTCTAATTGCAGCTAACATGTTTTCATAACATTTTTAACCAAGTTCCAAAAGATCGGTTTTCATTAACAACTATAGCTTTCATCAGACATACAGGCACCTGCAGCACACAAGGCAGAAGTAGGTTAGGTTATACATATACTGAAATTTAGGCCCCATGTACACGGAACACTTCTGAATGATGGAAACTGACTGCTGGAAAATGTAGGTTAAAAACGTCTGTTTAGCCGCATTTGCGTAACGTGTTTATGCGTGTTTATGTGCGTTTGCGTTTAGAAATGTTTTTTAAAGATAAGCACAGGAGAACCTCCAAAATGCCCAGAATGCACTAAAAAGTGGTAACTTATTACCTATTTCAGACTGTTTCAGAGAAATACAGAGAGTAGAAGCAGAGACAGCAGTATGTGTTGAGATTAGCTTACCTGTGAGTTGCTCATTAACATTTCTTTTGTTTCCAAGGGTGGGAAAGGTGTCTGGTGGAGTGAGTCATTAAGGCCACCTGGCAGGGGGGTCTTCATGAGGAATTTGAGGTGTGAATGGTCATTAACATATCTTTTGTTTCCAAGGGTGGGAGAGGTCTGAGGTGTGAATTGGTCATTATAATGTGTGACAAGCTTGGTAGGAACATCCTGTGTTTAGTGTTTTGTCCATCTGAGTACCTTGAAAATGCTTTGCATGCATTTTTCATGATGAAAAAAGGCTCTGGACAGCATCGGGAACTGTAAGAGTTAATAAAATGTTTCAATCGCAAACACTTATAAATGCTATTTGCCGCGTTTAGCTGCGTTTGCATGCATTTTGTGTTTCAAACACTGATAAAATGGATTGCTGAACTCAAGTTTTCTGCTTTCAAAAAAATGACTGTAAACTCAAATGCCTGTAAATGACTGTAAACGAAGATGTGTACATGGACACATAGGAAAACATTAGGGTGAGTTCAGCGGCTGCTAAAAAAAAACGTTGAACAGCTCCTAAACGTGAGTTTTTCAGCTAGAGTGTACATGAGCTCTTACAGTGCCTTGAAAAAGTATTCATACCCCTTGAAATGTACCACATTTTGTCATGTTACAACCAAAAATATAAATGTATTTTATTTGGGATTTTATGTGATAGACCAACACAAAGTGGCACATAATTGTGAAGTGGAAGGAAAATGATAAATGGTTTTCAACATTTTTTACAAATAAATATCTGAAAAGTGTGGCATGCATTTGTATTCAGCCCCCTTTATTCTGATACCCCTAACTAAAATCTAGTGGAACCTATTGCCTTCAAAAGTCTCCTAACTAGTAAATAGAGTCCACCTGTGTGTAATTTAATCTCAGTATAAATACAGCTGTTCTGTGTAGCCCACAGAGGTTTGTTAGAGAACATTAGTGAACAAACTGCATCATGAAGGCCAAGGAACTCACCAGACAGGTCATGGATGAAATTGTGGAAAGGTTTAAAGCAAGGTTAGGTTGTAAAAAATATCCCAAGCTCATGGTAATTCTGGAGGCGCTACAGATCAGGTCAGGTGAGAGAATCTGTCCACAGGACAACTATTAGTGGCGCATTCCACAAATCCGGCCTTTATGGAAGAGTGGCAAGAAGAAAGCCATTGTTGAAAGAAAGCCATAAGAAGTCCCATTTGCAGTTTGGGAGAAGCCATGTGGGGGACACAGCAAACACATGGAAGAAGGTGCTCTGGTCAGATGAGACCAAAATTGAACGTTTTTAGCCTAAAAGCAAAATGCTGTGTGGAGGAAACTTACACTGCACATCACCCCAAACACACCATCCCCATCGTGAAACATGGTGGTGGCAGCATCATGTTGTGGGGATGCTTTTCTTCAGTAGGGACAGGAAAGCTGGTTAGAGTTGATAGGAAGATGGCTGGAGCCAAATACAGGGCAAGCTTAGAAGAAAACCTGTTAGAGTCTGCAAAAGACTTGAAACTGGGGTGGAGGTTCACCTTCCATCAGGACAACGACCCTAAACATACAGCCAGAGCTTCATGGAATGGTTTAGATCAAAGCATATTCGTGTGTTAGAATGGCCCAGTCAACATCCAGTTGAGAATCTGTGACAAGATTTGAAAATTGCTGTTCACAGATGTTCTCCATCCAATTTAACAGAGCTTGAGCAATTTTGTAAAGAAGAATGGGCAACAATGTCACTCTCTAGATGTGCAAAGCTGGTAGAGACATCCCCAAAAGACTTGCAGCTGTAATTGCAGCGAAAGGTGGTTCTACAAAGTATTGACTCAAATACAAATGCGCACCACACATTTCAGATATTTATTTGTAAAAAAATGTGAAAACCATTTATCATTGTCCTTCCACTTCACAATTATGTGCCACTTTATGTTGGTCTATCACATAAAATCCCAATAAACCACATTTACGTTTTTGGTTGTAACATGACAAAATTTGGAAAATTTCAGGGGATACATATACTTTTTCAAGGCACTGTAAGTGGGCTTAGTCTGGGCTTGTTTGGTTGTAGTTTTCCCAGAGAATTGTGACAAGATTTTAAAAGGATAAGTTCACCTATGGGAATATGTTACATGTTCCACCAGTTGTTAGGGCGGAACATGTAACATGTTCCAATAGCTGCAGCCGTGCCTGCCACCCCCTCCCTCTGACAGATAATACGGGGAGAAGTTTCCCTGTACTATCTGTCAGATTTGAAAACAGCGTGAATCTGTTGTTTTCAAATCTGTCAGATTTGAAAACAACAGATTCAGTGTGACTCCACCCACACTGCTCATCATTCACTCACGGACTTCCATGATTGAATGAACTGCAAGTCCCAACAGCCATAGCGGCTGTGGGCTTGAAGATTTGATTTAATGACCACGGTGCTGGGGAACATCGTGATAGTTCATTGAAACTTCCTGTCAAAATATCTGCTTGGCTTTACATCCCGTATGGCAAGCAGATATTCTGACAGGTGTGCAGGAGACCTGCATGTCATCAGCGATCTACTGATAACTGGTGCAACGCTTTCCAGGCTCCTTTGGACAAAAATAATAAATGCACATTTTTTAGCTGCAAAAAAATGTGCATTTATTATTTTTGTCCAAAAGGTGAACTTATCCTTTAAACTGCTCTCTGATTTCAATTTTGACTCATTTAGCAGCCGCTGTTGGTAAAATTAAATAGCATGGCTGACTTGTTTCCAGAATCCAAATATGCAAATTCCCTCAGCTGCAAGCGTATCAAAGGGTCCATGCTAATCAAAAACATCATTGGCAAATGCAATAAAGAGTTGTTGTGCCACAAACTTTCCTGTTGCCACTTTTCATTATTGATTGATGAAATTACAGACATACAGGTGAAACTCGAAAAATTTGAATATCGTGCAAAAGTTCATTTATTTCAGTAATGCAACATAAAAGGTGAAACTAATATATGAGATAGACTCATTACATGCAAAGCAAGATAGTTCAAGCCATGATTTGTCATAATTGTGATGATTATGGCTTACAGCTCATGAAAACCCCAAATCCACAATCTCAGAAAATTAGAATATTACATGCAATCAATAAAACACAAGGATTGTACATAGAACAATATCAGACCTCTGAAAAGTATAAGCATGCATATGTACTCAGTACTTGGTTTGGGCCCCTTTTGCAGCAATTACTGCCTCAATGCGGCATGGCATGGAAGCTATCAGCCTGTGGCACTGCTGAGGTGTTATGGAAGACCAGGATGCTTCAATAGTGGCCTTCAGCTCTTCTGCATTGTTCGGTCTCATGTCTCTCATCTTTCTCTTGGCAATGCCCCATAGATTCTCTATGGGGTTCAGGTCAGGCGAGTTTGCTGGCCAATCAAGCACAGTAATCCCACGGTCATTGAACCAGGTTTTGGTGCTTTTGGCAGTGTGGGCAGGTGCCAAGTCCTGCTGGAAAATGAAGTCAGCATCCCCATAAAGCTCATCTGTGGAAGGAAGCATGAAGTGCTCCAAAATCTCCTGGTAGACGGCTGCGTTGACCCTGGACTTAATGAAGCACAGTGGACCAACACCAGCAGATGACATGGCTCCCCAAATCAACACAGACTGTGGAAACTTCACACTGGACTTCAAGCATCTTGCAGGGTGTGCCTCTCCATTCTTCCTCCATACCCTGGGTCCTTGGTTTCCAAATGAGATTCAAAAGTTGCTCTCATCAGAAAAGAGGACTTTGGACTACTGAGCAACAGGCTAGGTCTGATTTCTTTAGCCCAGGTAAGACGCTTCTGACGTTGTTTGTTGTTCAGGAGCGGCTAGACAAGAGAATACGACATTTGAAGCCCATGTCCAGGATACAACTGTGTGTGGTGCTCTTGATGCACTGACTCCAGCCTCAGTCCACTCCTTGTGAAAGTTCTCAACACTTTTGAATGGCCTTTTCCTGACAATCCTCTCCAGGCTGCTTGTGCACCTTTTTCTTCCACACTTTTCCCTTCCACATAACTTTCTATTAATGTGCTTTGATACAGCACTTTGGGAACATCCAGCTTCTTTTGAAATTACCTTTTGAGGCTTTCCCTCCTTATGGAGGGTGTCAATGATGGTTTTCTGCACAACTGTCAGGTCAGCAGTCTTTCCCATGATTGTGATTCCCACTGAACCAGACTGAGAGACCATTTAAAGGCTCAGGAACCCTTTGCAGGTGTTATGGCTTAATTAGCTGATTAGAGTGGGACACTTTGAGCCGAGAATATTGCACCTTTTCACAATATTCTAATTTTCTGAGATTGTGGATTTGGAGTTTTCATGAGCTGTAAGCCATAATCATCACAATTATGACAAATCACGGCTTGAACTATCTTGCTTTGCATGTAATGAGTCCATCTCATATATTAATTTCACCTTTTAAGTTGCATTACTGAAATAAATGAACTTTTGGACGATATTCTAATTTTTTGAGTTTCACCTGTATGAACAACTAAAAAATTAGCCATGGTGGTTATTTATTTTGATGAAGATGTTCTATCGCCTTGTTGATCTCACTGAATTTACTGCTGATGCTTTTTTGAGCAGATTAAGTGCTGGTTCACATACAGTTGCAAGAAAAAGTATGTGAACCCCTTGGGATTACGTGGAGTTTTGCATGAATTGGGCATAAAATTTGCTCTGAACGTCATCTAAGTCACAACAATAGAAGAACACAGTCTGCTGAACATAATACTACACAAACATTAGATGTTACCATGGTTTAATTGCACATAACATGTAAACATTCACAGTGCAGGGAGGAAAAAGTATGTGAGGCCCTAGCTTAATGACTTCTCCCAGAGCTAATTGGAGCCAGGAGTGAGCCAACCTTGACTCCAATCAGTGCGATGATATTGGATTGTGTTGCTGACAGCTGTCCTGCCCTTAAAAAAACACACACCTGTTTTGGGTTTTTACTGGTTTCAAGAAGCACTGTCTGATGTGAACCATGCCTCGCAGAAAAGAGCTCTCAGAAGACCTACGATCAAAAATTGTTGACTTGCATGAAGCTGGAAAGGGTTACAAAAGTATCTCCAAAAGCCTTGATGTTCATGTGTCCACGGTAAGACAGACTGTCTACAAATGGAGAAAGTTTAGCACTATTGCTACTCTCCCTAGGAGTGGTTGTCCTGTAAAAATGACTGCAAGAGCACAGCGCAGAATGCTGCATGAGGTAAAGAAGCATCCCAGAGTGTCAGCTAAAGACCTACAGAAATCTCGGGCAGATGCTAACATTTTTTGTTGACACATCTACAACAAGGAAAACATTAAACAAGAATGGAGTACATGGGAGGACACCACGGAGGAAGCCATTGCTGTCCAAAAAGAATATTGCAGCACGTCTGAAGTATGCAAAAGAGCACCTGGATGTTCCACAGCA